AAATAAATAAATAAATAGAGCTTCAATGGAATCTACAATTTTTGTGCTACAAATCAAGAAGATGAAAACACAACTCAAAGAATGAAAAAAACATTTGCAAATTGTATATCTAATAAACAACTTATATCCAGAATATATTTTAAAACTCTTACAATTCAATAATAAAAAGATTAAAGCTAAAAAAAAGGACAAGGACTCTGAATAGGCACTTCTACCAACCATTCACCAATATATATACCATATCCTTTTTATGTACATATTATTGGATATACAAGAAACATATATCCATACGAACACTGTACATAAATGTTCATAGTAGCATTATTCATAAGAGCCAAAAAGTGGGAACAATCCAAATGTCTATCAACAAATAGACAAAATCTTATACATTCCTATTAATACAATGGAATATTATTCTGCGATAAAAAGGAATGAAATACTAATACATGTTACAACATGGATGAACTTTGAAAACACCATGTAAGTGGAAGAAGCCAGTGACAGAAGACCACAGATTCCATTTATATAAAATGTCCAGAATAGGCAAATCTACAGAGACAGAAAGTAGATTAGTGTTTGCCCAGGTTGGGGGACAAGGAAGATGGAGAGAAATGGAGCATGACTGCTAATGTGTACAAAGCTTCTACTTGGGGTGATGAAAATGTTCTAAAACTTATTAGAATGATAGTTACATAACTCTGTGAATCTAACTAAAAGCTACTGAATTGTACACCTTATATGGGTGAATCATATGTAAATTATATTTCAATAAGCCTCTTTAAAAAACATAGAAAAAATTTTCATAATCTAGGGCTAGACAAAGAGTTCTCAGACATGACATTGAAAGTATAATCCAGAAAAAAGGAAAAACTGATAAACTGGAAATCATTACAATTAAAAACTTTTGCTCTGCAGAAGACATGTGAAGAGGATGGAAACAATCCAGAGACGGCAAGAAGAGACTTGCAAACCAGATATCTGGCAAAATACAATTATTTAAAACATATGCATATATAGCATTGTGCTAAATTATCTATTTTTATCTTCATAATAGCTCTAGAAGTTATATATTATTCTCTAGTTGAGAGATCAAGAAGCCGGGGTTCAGAAAGAATAAGAACCTAGACCCTGAGGAGCCATAACCCTCAACTGCCTTTTTGCCCATGGAATCTCTCCATTTCCTCTCCTCTGTATCTCAGCAGGTCTCAGAAAGTCTGCAGGCTAAAGGATACACTTAAAAGTCCATACTCTACCACTAATGTAAGTCTTAGAACAGAGTCCACTTAAATAAAGAGAAAATAACTTGCTTTAAGTTCTATCCATGGAGCTCAAAATAAGGATGTGTAGTCACAGTAATACATTTAGGTCACCTAAGTAGTGAGTGGCAGAGGGAGAATTTTAAAACAGGTTTTTCTGGCTCAAAAGTAGGGGTGTCCAATCTTTTGGTTCCCTAGGCCACATGGAAGAAGAATTATTGTCTTGGGCCACACATAAACTACATTAACACTAACAATAGCTGATGAGTTTTTCTTTAAAATCGCCAAAAAAAGAATCTGATAATGTTTTAAGAAAATTTACAAATTTTTGTTGGGCCGCATTTCAAGCCAATCCTGGGCTGCATGTGGCCTGTGGACCTTGGGTTGAACAGGCTTGTTCTAAAGCTTACACTATACTGTTTCCCTATGACTATAATTTCTGTTGCTAATAGGGACACTATTGTTTAGAATTTAATTTTAGATATTTAAAAGTCTAAATCCTATCAGTAGCTCTCCCTTCAAGGAATAAATTCAATTCCATTTTAATAATTTGTGAGATATAGGGTAAAAGGAAGGCCAACAATTTTTTTTTAAATCTCTTAAAAGAATTATATTTGGAGATATTTCTTTATAACTTTTTAAGTATAGTAAAAGCTAAAAACTATTGGAAAAAGCAAAAGAGTAAAAGGTTATCTAAATATTCTTGGCTCTGAGCTTTTTGGGTCTAAAAGAGTCAGACAAATATTTAGGCAGAGAAAAAAATACATATACATTCAGCTAAATGGTGAGTTAGAACTAGGCCACATCTCATTTTTTCTGTCTCAAAGTGCTTAATTTAGAATCAGATTTTAAAAACAATCCTCCCCAGGCCAGGTTTGGCCCTTCCAGTTGGCACCTAGACATCAAAACCTGTGATAATCTGGAACAACTGAAAATAGCTTTGGGTATTCAACTATCAGGCAGTAAGGAAGGTCAAATATGAATTAATACATTTTAAGACTGAAAAAGAGGTTTAATACAAGCCTTAAAAGAGAGAAGGAAAAATAAAAAGAATTAAGCAGCTAACTTCTTCCTGTATCTCAGCGGAAGACAGAGCTTGTATACTGTTCCTTTTGCCCTTATCTTCCATCTAAGGCACTTGGGTTCAGAGCTCTATGCTGCTTCTGCTTCTAACTAAACTACAAAGCCATTTCTTCAATTTTCTTCTTATTCCTAAGAACCTTCACTGTTCATCCATTCTTTACAGAATAAAGTCCAAATCCCTTGCCTGGCATTCAAAGCCCTTCCCAGTTTGAATTCAACTACCTCTCTAGTTTTATTTCCTATTATTCATTACCCCCCGTCATGACTCCTCTATCAGAGCCAAACAGATCTACTCACTGTTGAAAAAGCAGGCACGCTCTGGTCTAGCCATCTCTGCCAATGCCACCAGCATCCCTCCTACCCTCATCCACCTGGATGAATTCTATCTCCAAGTTCCAGCTCCTGCATGAAACCTCCCTATTTCAGGATGCATACACACAAAATCTCTCTCCTTCTGGAACCTTATACTGGTTATGTAATATTCCAAGCTACTCATCCAGGGCTTATCATAAACTTTCCTATTTATCTTATTTCTGTCTTAACTCCTCAAATATATAAGTTCCCTGTGGGTACCTCAGTTTTCTTTATTCCTATATTTCATATAACACTTAACCAGGAGCAAATTAATATTACCTAAGTTTCAGCCAATAAATTTTAAAGCACTCGTGCAAGGACGCTAAACAAATTGATATTTATAAGCCAAAGTGAGGAATATCTGTCATCAAAAAAATTCAGTGTTTCACTGTTTTCACATTTCATATAAGACAAAAGTCCCTTTAGTCTCTTTAATCAAAATAAAACAAAGAATTCCTGATGTGTTATCAAACCAGGAGCGTGTAACTACTGAAGACAAAGTTATTTGCACCAGCTGAAAAAGGCAGCAATAAGTTCAATAGCAGCAAGTAGGTTTCTCTGCTTCACTCTGCATAAAATATGACTGTGCTGCACCCTACAGTCTATGGAAGAAAAGAATTATAAGAAAGCACATTCAAAGACTAATCAATGTTTGGGCAGAAATAATTTTCCTGCTGTTTTAAAAGTACTAATCAATTTTCCTTCCAATGTTGTCATTACATACTGAAAATATACAGTTGGGCTGTACTGGCAATCACCAGTACGTACTAAGAAATGCAGCTTTGCATTCCTTTTCCTTATTCTAGAATCAAAGAAAGTAACATGAATGTCTATAAAACCATATCGCTCTATAAGCCTAATCACTGATCCTCTAAAAAAAAAAATCTCCATAAAGACAGAGATTTAACCATTGTGCTCATTGAGTCCTGTCTGTGCGAACACAGCTGGGTTCTGGAATGGGTCTTAATAAGCATTGCATGTTTAATCTGGGAAGTTCCTTTTCAAGAAGTAAGCTATCAGAAGATATATACAGATAAAAAAAAGTCTTGGACTCTGGTAATTCCAAGCTGACTCACAATATGTAGATCCAGATTCCCAATTCCAGATTATTAAATTCCATTTCTGCCATGGGGTCCACACTGGAAAAATTCCAGGTTCATGTACTGTGATGATTAATTTCAAGTGTCAACTTGACTGGATTAAGGGATACTCACAGAGCCAGTAAAGTATTATTTCTACATATGTCTGTGAATGTTTCCAGAAGAGATTAACATTTGAATCAGCAGACTCAGTAAGAAAGATCCTCCCTTATCCAAAGTGTGAGGGCACCATCCAATAATCTGACAGCCCAGATACAACAAAAAAGAAGAAAGGCAAATTCTCTCTCTCTCTCTCTCTGTCTGTCTGTCTGTCTGTCTCCTGGAGATAGAATACCCAGCTTCTCCTGCCCTTGGACATATGAACTCCAGGTTCTCCAGCCTTTGGAGACTTGCACCAACAGCACCCCCGGGTTCTCAAGCCTTTGGTCACAGATTGAGAATTACACCAGGCCTTGGTTCTGCCTTGTTCTCAGGCCTTTGGACTTGAACTAAGCCATGCCACTGGGTTCTTCAGCTTACATACAGCCTACTGTAGGACTTCTCAGCCTCCATAATTGTGTGAGTCAGCCCCTCTAATAAATCGCTGCTCATATATCTATACCTGTATGTATACCTGTATCTATATTCTATTGGTTCTGTGTCTCCAAAGAACTCTGGCTAATACAGATACCTAGTGAGCAAATGGTCATTCCTGTGGATTCCAGAACCCTCTTGCAGGTTTTATGAAACCCAGTGCAAACTGGGATTCAGCACAAATTTCCCAAAACTGACTAGACACCAGGAAAATTCCAGAAATACCACAATTTCACTGCATCTTAAGGCTGTATTTTGTAAATATTTCATGATGTTTTCTAAAAGAGTTGCCAAGGAAACATTTTAAAGGTACCATTAGCAAATGAGGTTGAGAAACAACCATGTGTTCCTACTGGATGACTCATTAGAAGATTAAATGTTCTGGAAAAGTCCTTTTATAAAGCAATCAGTTACCTTCACTTAAACCAGCATTTTCCAAAATTATCTGAAATCCTATTAACACTTCCAGGGGCTATCCCTCTCTACTCTATGACTTTTATAAACCATATGTCTCAACTCTATTAGTAAAGAAATTCAAATAGGAAAGATGCATACATTCAAGACATATTTTTGATGTCACCTAGGGAAAGGCCTTCCAAGGGGACTCTCAAAATGACATTCATTACTTTAACCAGTTTGCTATAGTCTACGGTCTGCTTCTGAGCTGCCCAAGTTCAAAACTGAGTATGTCAGCTGACCAAAGACATTTGAAATTTCACTGGCAAATTCACTAACCACAGTCACAAGACTGCTGTACACTAGAATGTCAATTTATTAAGTTATAATTAACAATAGTCACAGAAACACCTATATTTTAAACTGCAGGACCTACCCATTCCCTCCCTCTGACCAATCCAGTTGGGAAGTCAAATCATATTCAGAAGGTGAGCACACAATCATGGGGAAATCACAAAATAAACTGCATGTTTAATAATATCAGGCTAAGAAGGCCTGATGTATCCATAATACTGATGACCTTGTTTTAACAATAAACCATAAGAGTGGTAGGCAAAAGACTGGTCTGAGGGTGTGAGAACTCTTTTTTTTAATATCCCCTTAGACTCCAGCAGTCCTGAGAGTTCCCCACCCACTCCTAGAGATGGGCAATTGCTGGTTTTTCAATCACATATAAGGTGTGGGAAAAATGTACTAGAAAGGTTGGCTATTTCTTATGACTACATCATATAATCTAAGTAAAAACAATGAGTCTGAAACATAACTCCAAAATAAGTTGTCTTAGTCTGTTTTCTGTCACTATAACCAACTACCACAGACTGGGTAATTTATAAACAATAAAGATAACGGTTCTGGAGGCTGGGAAGTCAAAGAGCATAGCACCAGCATCTGGTGAGGGCCTTCCTGTCATGTCATAAAATAGCAGAGGGTATCCCATGGTGAGAAGGCAAGTTCTGTTCAGGTCTTTCTTCCTCTTCTTATAAAGCCACCAGTCCCATCATGGGAGGCCCACCCTGCTGACTTTATCTAATCCTAATTATCTTCCAAAGGCCTCACTTCCGAATGTCATCAACATATAAATTTGGGGATTAAATTTCCAATACATGAAATCTGGGGACACAATCAAACCATAGCATTAAGCTCTCAAAAGCAAGCCCCTTTTCAACCCCAAGACTCTCCGATATAGAAAATTTAGAGCTCCTGCAGTATCATAATCTGCAATATCCACTGGCAACTCTAACTCTATCTCCTTACTAGGGATGGCCTCATACTGCTATGACTCCCTCCCTAAAACAGTAATTTGAATGGTCACTTCTTAATCTTCAGAAAAGAAGTTTTCAAAAAGTCCACTTAAGGATTAAAATGAATTCAACTCATTCATAGTCCACATAGTTGCGTTTTTTTTATATAATTGAAAAATATCACAGTCAAAAATCCAGATTTCCAGCTACTCCTAAAAAACCTGGAAGGTGGCCGGGCGCGGTGGCTCAAGCCTGTAATCCCAGCACTTTGGGAGGCCGAGGCGGGTGGATCACGAGGTCAAGAGATCGAGACCATCCTGGTCAACATGGTGAAACCCCATCTCTACTAAAAATACAAAAAATTAGGTGGGCATGGTGGTGCGTGCCTATAATCCCAGCTACTCAGGAGGCTGAGGCAGGAGAATTGCCTGAACCCAGGAGGCGGAGGTTGTGGTGAGCCGAGATCGCGCCATTGCACTCCAGCCTGGGTAACGTGAATGAAACTCCGTCTCAAAAAAAAAAAAAAAAAAAAAAAAACCTGGAAGGTTTTTAGCTATAAGGAACAATAACATGACTGAACATAACTTGGCAATTATAGGCTGAAATTCAATACAGATTTTCCTTTAAACATGCTGTGTTTCCTTGGATGTCCACCATCACCCTACTGCCCATCACTCTCTGTTGTCTTAAAGCCACCCTTTGTGGATATTTACATGCAAGCCCCTACTTAATCCACTATGAGTTGGTTTTACAATTTAACTCTTCAGGAACAAACTTACTACATAATTTTTTCAAGTTCTCAGAGATCTATTCACTCCATTGTCCATGTTTTCCAGATATAATTTGCCATTTCTTCTACTACTCCATAACGATGGAAGGAAGTTAGTCAGGCAGCCTAGGAATTTAAGGCAAAAAGAATCCTGGAGTCCAATGCTAAATTCTTTAATCTATAAACTAAGGTCAATCAGAAGAGACACCATCAGTAAGTGGCTGAAACCTTTTTCTTTTTTGCAACTTATTATCTAGTTATCACTCTTCCAGTTCTCTCTACCCCATGAACCTAAACCACAAAGTCTTCCATAGCATCTGTCTACCCCATACCAAGGGCTGGCTACATAGTTTACAGGGCCCAGAGCAAAATAAAAACACAAGGTTCCTCATTTAAAAATTAAGAAGAATTTCAAGACAGTGACAGCAGAGCATTAAGCCAAGTTCAGGGCCCTTCTAGACATAGGAACTTGTGCAACCACAAGTTCACATGGTCACATGCCCATGAAGCCAGCCCTACCCATCTCTTGCTCTTAATCAGGCTTTCCTGTTACCCTTTGTCTGTGTTCCGACCTCCAAGAGTCCCACCCAAGGCTTGGCAATCTAAATCTGACCTCATTCGCTTCTGCCTGTTTTACCTTCTTGCAACAAGGACAAGAATTCCTCCTCCTGACACAAAGGCTGGCCTTCCTGACAAGATGTATAGCATAGCATTTACATCTACTGGGGCCTTATGACCCCAGTGCTATTCAATAAAGCAAGAGTCATAAAAAAGAAGCAAGGGCAAGCATTTAAGCCCCAGAATGGAATGCCATTTTGTTAGACTTCCTTCTTTACATGCACAACATTATCTTGACAATAATAGGGGCTTGAAGTCAAGGAAATTCATTTATCTGTCTTTACAAACTCATGTTTCCATTCTAATTTCTTACCCATATGGCTTATAAGCTTGTAATAGTATCATTTTTGTTTCTCATTTTTTTATTCCTCCCTTCTCTTACCATTCAACCATCAGACCCAGACGGTCTTACGCAGTTTCCCAAAGTATTGTATGTACACATGAGAAGGTTTCAGATGGTACAAGAAAGCTTTATATATAGTTTATTACTTTAAAGTGAATTGGAAACAACATCATAAATCAAGCTGTGAGTTCAGAGTTATCAAATTTTTTACTTAAGTAAAATAAAGTAAGTTCATTTAAAGAAAAATATTAATGAAATAACAGTGGGGTGGGTGGGACAAACAGGAGAAAAAATGTCAAGGTGAAACTCAAATAATTTAATGCGGAAAATACTACTTTATGTTGTAAGGCAAGATAACTGACTTTTAAGATGAAATAAGCATTTGTGTCTTCTTCCTCCAGTGGAGCTAATGTCTCTAAGAAGAGAAGTAGAATACCAATTTGCATTAAGATCTTAGAGAACATTATTTAGGACTTTCACAATCTTTGTCACATGAGATTGGCAAAAACTCACCAACAGGTCAAAAAAAGGAAACCAACTAAAGAACCTAAAAATTCTTAGAATGTCATCACTTTAAGTAATAACCAAGAGTGCTTGATTGACTAAAGATGGATTAGTGAGGAGTCCACTCAGAAAGCACAGAAAGTGTCCAAACTACACTCAGCTAATGTACTACCCATATACAAGGCAAGAACTATAAGGACCTAGCGGGGTGAGTGCTGGCTCTGCCATGGGTAAATCACGTAACTTTAGGCAATTCATTTACTTTCTCTCTATCTGTGAATCACTGATACCAAAATTTTAGAGACTGAAAAATTCAATCCAGCTGCTACACTTTACAGATGATGGAAATCTGATAAAATGAACTGCTCAAAGGCACAAGAGACTTCTTGATAGACAGCTACAAAATCAGTAGCAGAGCAAATGGCTCTGAAGTCCCCTGCCCAGTATTCATGCTGCTGACCTTTCTCTCTCTCTCTCTCATCCTTTCCTTCTAAACAAAAGCAATAAATTCAAGAGCAGCTTCCCACTTCTTAAAAATACTTCTGGGGGCCTTCAGAGCTTTGTTTCCTTGGGATGACTGCTTGTGAACAACAGATTCCTATCTGTCATAGTTAGAGCCAATCATTTATTTCTAACTAATAAGATACCTGAAAAGATATTCTAGTCCTCAAATATTAGCTGGCCTGAAAAAAAAATGGACACAATAATTTCTGGCCAGAACAGGGAATAAAAAGAGGTCACAGGATGTGATCAAAAAGCAGATTATCCAGGGTGTCCCTAGATACCCCCTGAATAATGTCACTGTGATTCAGAGTAAGAGCAGAGATGTTCCAAACAAAACAAATATTCAGGAGAAAAGACTTGTCTCTAAAAAATGTTTTTGGAAAGAGACTATAGAACTCGTGATCATATTCCCTACTCAAATATAGGGAATATATTCACATCCACGATAATATGCTGTTAAGCTAGCTTCTATGATGCAGAATCAGCCAAGTAGTGGGACTAGGAATGGCAACATGATCAACAGAATAAAAAGGCAAAAATGAGAAGAGGAAATTCTTAGGAGAAGTCTGTGGTAGAGAGAAATGGACAAGGTAAGAGATCAGTTGGTAAGAAGGTACAGCATCTTAAAGGGGAATAAAAGAGTCACAGGTACAAGGGCAGCTGAATAGAGAGGAAATGGGAATTTATATGAAACATTGGGGTGAGCTATGTGTCTCCTTCATGTTATTTTAGAAATACAAGTAAAAAATTTGAGTTATTCTAAAAATACTTTATAGCTTACCCCTATGACTGGCTCTGCAGATCATAGCCTCAGTAAAGTAGCAAGAGTCATTATAGAAAATACTAAAAGCACAGTGAGATGTGGATACTCAACATACTCATTGCTTAAGAGCTAACTGACCACTATACAATGGTCTTTCAGAGCAGGATGCAAATCCTTGTCTAAAACAAACTACAAAGAGCTTCACATCATGGATTTGGTATTCCTCCCAAACATTCAAAACCCCATTCTGCAAAAAAAAGAAGAAGAAAGAAGAAGAAGAAAAGAAGGAGGAGGAGGAGGAGGAGGAGAAGGAGAAGAAGAAGTTGTTGTTTGCCTGTTTCTCATAAAACTAAACTACTTACCTTATGACCCGACAATTATTCTTTTGTTCATTTATCCAATAGAAAAAAAAAACCTATGTTTACATTAAACCTGTACATGAATGTTCATGACAGCATTATTCATAATAACCCAACACTAGCAACATCCCAAATGTCTCTCAATAGATGAATGATTAAACATACTATGTCACATTCATACAATAGAATGCTACACAGAAATGAAAAGGAACAAACTATTGACACATGAGAAAACTTGGATGGATCTCAAGAACATTACGTTCAGTGGAGGGAAAAGAGCCAATCTCAAAAGTTACATACCGAGTATTAAGTGCATATTGTATGACTACACTTAATAACATCCTCAAAATGATAAAATTATACAGATGGAGAAAAGATAAGTAGTTTCCAGGAGGAGAGGAGATATGAATATACATGGAGAGAACAAGGAAGTTCCTTTGTGGTGATGGAACTACAAACAATCACACACATACACACACACACACACACACACACACACACACACACACACAAATGCATGCAAAAACTGGTAAAACATTGACCAACTTAGAAATAAGACTGCACTTCTACAAAAATCTGATCTTCAACAAACCTGACTAAACAAGTAATGGGGAAAGAATCCCTCATTTAATAAATGGTGCTGGGAAAACTGGTTAGCCATATGTAGAAAATTGAAACTGGACCCCTTCCTTACACGTTATATAAAAAATAACTCAAGATGGATTAAAGACTTAAATGTAAAACCCAAAACTATAAAAACCCTAGAAGAAAATCTGGGCAATATCATTTGGAACATAGGCACGGGCAAAGATTTCATGACAAAATCATCAAAAGCAATTGCAACAAAAGAAAAAATGGACAAATGGAACCTAATTAAACTAAAGAGCTTCTGTACAGCCAAAGAAACATCATCAGAGCAAACAGGTAACCTACAAAATGGGAGAAAATTTTTGCAATCTATCTATCTACCAAAGGTCTAATACCCAGAATTTATAGGAACTTAAACAAATTTACAAGAAAAAAAACAAACAACCCCATTAAAAAGTGGGCAAAGAACATGAACAGGCATTTCTCAAAAGAGGACATTTATGCGGCCAACACACACTTGAAAAAAGCTCAACATCACTGATCATTAGAGAAATGCAAATCAAAACCACAATGAGATACCACCTCATGCCAGTCAGAATGGGGATTATTAAAAAGACAAAAAACAACAGATGCTGGTGAGGTTGTGGGAAAAATAGAAACGCTTTTATACTGTTGGTGGGAATGTAAATTAGTTCAACCGTTGTGGAAGACAGTGTGGTGATTCCTCAAAGATCTAGAACCAGAAACACCATTTGACCCAGCAATTTCATTACTGGGTATACTTCCAAAGGAATATAAATCATTCTATTACAAAGATACATGCATACTTATGTTTACTGAAGCACTATTCACAATAGCAAAGACATGTAATCAATGCAAATGCCCATCAATGATAGACTGGATAAAGAAAATGTGGTATATATACACCATGGAATACTATGCAGCCATAAAAAAGAATGAGATAATGTCCTTTGCAGAGACATGGATGGAGCTAGAAGTCATTATACTCAGCAAACTAAGGAAGAAACAGAAAACCAAACACCGAACGTTCTGACTTGTAAGTGGGAGCTAAACAATGAGAACGTATGGACACAGGGAAGGGAACAACACACACTGGGGCCTGTTGGGAGGTGGGGTTGAAGGAAGGAGAACAATAGCAGAACAATAGCAACAATAGCAAAAATAGCTGGGCTTAATATCTAGGTGATGGGTTGATAGGTGCAGCAAACCATCAAGGCATACATTTACCTATGTAACAAACCTGCAAATCCTGCACATGTATCTCGGAACTTAAAATTAAAATTAATAATTAAAAACTGGTAAAAAGTGAATGTAAATTCTGTAGTCCAGTTAACATTATTGTACCAATGCTAATATCTACTTTTAATCTTTTATTGAAATTATTCATAATGTTATCATTGGGGGAAGCTTAGTGAAGGGTTCAAGAGACTCCATGTGCCATTTCTGCAGCTTCCTGTGAATTTACAATCATCTCAAAAAAAATGCATTAACATTGTTTTTAGAACTCATAAAATTAAAAACAAGAACAAGGTATGTTTCAAACTACATTTCCAGTCTCACCTGTACAATCCCAAATACCTTAAAATCCAGCCACAGTGGATTCCCCATAACTCCAAGAGTATACCAGGCACCCTCTGAGTTCCATGCCTGTCCTCAGGCTATCACTTCTGCCTAGAATGCCCTTCCATACCACCTTGCTTTCTCTGAACTCCATCATATCCCAAGGCCCAGCTAAATGACATCTCGGAAAAGCCTTACCTGGCCTGAGTTCCACATCCCAACAAGCAGAGTCCTATTTCTTCTCCTCCACTGCCATTGTACATTGCAGTGTATCCATTCAGAGAGTAAAACATTTCACCATACTCTAGTTAGTTAACTCATCATCTGCTTTCCTTAATAAACTGTGAGTTCCCTGAATAAAATGAACATATACTCATCTTTACATCTCTAACCTACCCCACAAAGCCTGCTACATAGGTGGTATTCAATAAGTAAATTCAATCGTATTTTCATTACAAGTCATTATACCTGACTTGTATTGAAAATACTATATTCCCAACTGCAATCAATATAAAAGCTAGTGACTATCATTAACTTCATAAATAGTACTTGTAGAACAATACAGGGTACCCACTCTAGCACAATTCCCCAGCTGGGGATTGCTAGGGGCTGAAGTGAGACCGCCAACAATGCCTGGAACATGTCAGGCATATCATATACATTTTACTAATGAGAAAACAAAATCTCAGAGAGCTTAAGATTCCTTAAAATAACACAGGTGCTAAATAAGAAATGGTTGACAGGCAAATCTAAATTTCTTACATGTCTGCTCATTGTTTCACACAGACCTTGAGCTTCTCACAAACAGCCTTTCAGACTCTAGAAGCTGCCCTAACAGATTACTGGGTGGGGAGGACTGGGGGCAACCCAGTGGTCAGGGGTGAGAGGGAGAGACATCTAATTAGCTCCCATGAGGGTCCTGGCCACGTGCTCCTCAAAATCCTTTTTGTACCAGCCTTTGTGTAGCCGAGGTCATGCTAGTTGGCTTAAATTAACTTGGAATAATATTTGAAATAGAACGTCTTAACTATACAATTTTGAACTGTTTAAGCTTAATTCCACTCAAATTAAATCATGATACTGGGGCATTACAAAGGATTACTGACAAAAGGAAAAAATATATGAACAAAGCCTCTACTGCCATCAGCTCATATTCAAATCACACTTAATATTCCCCTGTCCAAACTCATCACTAATTTCTTTTTGATATTTCGATACATATCATGTATAGTGATCAGATCAGGGCAATTAGCATATCCATCATCTCAAACATTTATCATTTCTTCGTGTTGGGAACATCCAACTCATCACTGATTGTAGTTAAAAAATTAAGTCAGACCATACATACATTGACTTTTAAATATGTGTCCACCAATTAAAACCCTGGGCTCTCCCTAGCAACTATGAAACATGTATAAACAAGAGCATTCCAATCCATTCAATATTAAACCCTCTTGGGTGCTGTCCAAGGTATGTGCAGGCTGCAGTTGGTACTGTTCAGCTGAATTTCATCTTCAACACCTAACACAGTTCCTGGCATGGAATTCAGAAAATGTTTTTGTTGATTTATAATCTGTGCTAAAGTGGACAATTAGAAAGCTGCTTTAAATAGTTTTTAAATACTCTTTAAGTCTACTACTGCTGTAATCTTATTCATAATTACAAGTAGCAGACAAGACTACTTTTAAACTATTTAGTCTTAAAATTGCATGAGAAAACATAACATCAATATTCAACAGAAAAATAAAAGCTTTGAGTATGATTTTTAGGTCTTAGTTTTCTCCACTGCAGCAGGTGCAACAGTAGACTGAGGATAGACTCTGACCTATCACCTCACATGAATCTATAAGACCATAAAATTTGCCAAAAAATGGAAAATCCTCAGAGTTTAGAGCAACAAAGCATAATTATGATTTTTATCTTGTTTCTCTTCCATTAATCTGAATATATATCCTAAACTTTCAGGGTACGGTGGGAATAACATAAAATACTCCAGTTTACAAATGACTTTCCTTCATGGCTTTAACCTACCTCAAACTTATGACTCCACTAGGAAATTTCATGTGCTTTTCCTTTCTGATGTAGTACTACATTATGGTTAAAGGCTCAGGGTCAACCCTTCCTTGGTAAGATTATTAGGGGATTAAATGAGCTAATCCATGTACAACACAGGGACCACAGTTCGTTCAGGGTTGGCATTCCATGATAGTAGCTATAACAAAGACTGTAAGGATGATAAGAAGAATGGTAACAATAGAAAATCCTTAGGCTTTGTTTTTAAAACCACTATACTCAAAGAAATGTCTAAGCAGAGACCAAAGTCAGCTCACAAAGCCAAGATTCACCATGCCAAGGCTGTTGGGATTTCTTCTTGTTTTCTCAATTGCCCTAAGGATTTCAGCTCTGCTTATCTGACAGGCCAATATACTTTGCTTCCCATGGCTGAGACGCAGCTGCCCGGCTGTACCTTTGCAAGTTGAGGTGCAGCATGTGTGAAAGACACCCTAATGTGTTAGAGAACAGGCCAGAAAAGGCATGCCAATGGGACAAAAGCTTGGGATTTTTGCTCTCTTTAATGACCTGGAAAATATCTGTATATTCATCCCCCATATCCCACCTCCTGATAAACCGAAGCTGCTGCTCCCTTAATAACTTTACCTCCCAAACCCTCTTAATGCTCAACCATATCTCTGCCAGCTGACAAGAAGAGCTGACAGGCTACAAATGAAATCCTGTTCCAGCCTGTCTACCTGCAGGATGAGGAGTGAGTTAGTGAGGCAAGAAGGAAACAGAAGGCCCTGATAACGGAAAATCAGCCATGTTTTAAAGGTAGATGGGAGAAAAGTAAATTGTATCTGATGTCCACTCAAAAACACGAACGCGAAAGTGCCTCCCTCTCCATTAGTTGAGTGAGTTGTCTTCCAGCCTCCTTAACCGCATTGTTCCTTTGTTTTAATGAGAAAAGTGTGAAAACAGAGAGTGTCTAAATCAGAGATGGGACAAAGGACAAAGCCTGGAAATGTCACTTCTGACGGCTACTGTGGACAGAGAAATGAAGTGCCACTTGTGCTCCCTTGTTTCACTGGATTCTCTCATTGATGTATTACACATTTATTGAGCATTCGTTGGTGCCATATACCACAGAAACAGGCATAAAAGGTTAGGTCTTTTCTATGAAGGATGGAGTTTCTTATCTAAGCCTTTTATTTAGGTCTTTTTATCTAGGGTAGAGTTTTGCTAAACAAAAACAAGGAGGAGGGCATTCCAGGTAAAGGAAACCCCTGGAAAAGGTAGGGAAACAACAGGCAGAGGCAAGCAGCAAGTACAGGGCACGTTCTGGAATACCGAGACCACAGCCTTCCACTGCTTGCTCTTCCTTGTGCCAGTGACAACATGTATCATGTTCTCACTGTGTGATTTCCTTGCCCTGAAATTACTGTTTACTTCTAATCACTGGTCTCCTTTACTGAGTTAAGAATGACCGTTCTGTTGGAGGTACAGGGATCCAGGCAGAAATGTTT